CCCCCCTCATCCCCCAACTGACTCCCAACCCACTTCCGCTCGCCGCTGTAGAAGCAGCAGAGCAGCAGAAGGCAAGAGAAGGCGCTCCAGGGGAGGTTATTTATTAAAAGCCGTACGGACGGATGGACTCTCCGCTTACGCCCGGCGGGCTGGGTCGCGGCGGCACCCCCTGCTGCCGATGTGATTATTTTTCAAATTACTGTATCCAGCTGCGCGGGACAGACAAACAAACAAACACAAAACTCGCTCGGTCCTGTCCGTTTAGCGCAGCCCCGCTTCGCTCACCCTCGCAGTCGCGCATGCTGACGCCCAGCGTGTAGCCCGGCGAGCACTGGCACTGGAAGCTGCCCGGCGTGTTGACGCACTGCGCGTTGCCCTCGCACGGGCTGGGGAAGCGGATGCACTCGTTGTCGTCTGCGGGAAAGAGAAAAGGCCAGAGTGAGAGAAGAAGAAGAGGCACTCCGTCGTCTGGGCGCTTCATCAGTTCCGTTTTGACAGGAGGGTTTGTCCAACAAGAGCAGGGAGCTGATGAGCGGCGGAGCCCAGGCTCAGTGCAGCGCTGCTAGGTGGCCCCGCTGTCGTGCTCGGTGTCTGTGTGTCCAATTAATTTCTCCATCCGCCGACGACGTCTACGCATTCATTAAAAGCCTTCGCCCAGGCTGCCTTGATTCACCCCTTCCTGGGGCCTGGGGCCCCCTCCTCTCCGCAAACCCGCGCGTCGCCACCTCGCCTCCCCGAGCAGACTCGAATCGGAAATGTCCCCAGGGACCATGTTTCCGTTTCCGCCCGCTCGAGGAGGAAAGGTCAGGCTGGCTGACGGGGTGGACGGGGCGGGGGCGGATTCGAGGAAGCGCGACCGCAGCGAGCGGATTGAGCAAACAGACACCGTGGGAGAGCAGAGCTTAGGAGGGGAATTGGTTTATGTTACCGGGAAATGGGGCCGTTACAGGCGTATTTATTTATTTTATTTGTTTGTGCCGGTGGCTTACCGATGCACTGGTGCGAGTCCAGGTCGTACACGTAGCCGTGGTGGCACTGGCACTCGAAGCTGCCGGGCACGTTGAGGCAGACGCCGTGGCTGCACATCTGTGGCATGAGCCGGCACTCGTCGATCTCCTCCGTCTTGTTGGTCCAGGGGTCCACGAGCTGGCCGGGCTTCATCACGCCGCACAGCTGGTGGTACTCGTCTGCAGCAGACCAGTCGGGCGCGTTACTCTCCTCGCCGCCATTCCGCCCGTCATCCCGCCCGGCGGGTGGTGCGGCGGGCGGGGTGAGCGGGAGACAGAGAAACACACTGCTCGAGATGAAGAGAGTTGCATGCAAATAGCTAGAGGCAATGAACTGTAATTTGTCAGAGAAGGATTGAAGCATTTCATTTGAAAATTTCTTAGAAAACTTTTTCCACTATTTTTTTTTTGTTTTTGTTTTTGAAAATGACATCTACTGCTCTGCACAAGTAAAGTTATGGTTTGTGTTTTCGTCGATATACTGACGAGTGCTGGCGCGGGGGCAGGGCTGGCAGTCTTTGCCCCAAGCGGCGCCCATGGAGCAGCAGCACAGCATGAGCGTCTGCGGGCTGGACATGGGCGCGGAGCAGCGCCCGTCCTCCAGCGCGGTGTAGCACTCGTCTCGCCGCGTGTCCACGCAGTCCTCTGACAGAGGGAACGAAAAAGCAGAGTTAGAGACTCAAATTTTGGAAACTGTCGGGAAAAAATCGTAAATTTTCAAAACAACTTGATTGACTTTTACATACTCAGAAAAAAATATATAAATATATCAACACTTAATTTCAACACAACACTTTTGTTTTGAAAACTATTTGTGTGAAAATTTCTAAGCAGAGTGCAAGAAGCTTAGATTACTCACGGCTGCCGGGCCGCAGCACGAAGCCTTCGGGGCAGATGCAACGGTACGAGCCCGGGATGTTCTCGCACGCGCCCACGCCGCACAGGTCTGGGTGCTCGCGGCACTCGTCCACGTCCACGCACATCATGGTGCCGTTGTCGAGGCGGTAGCCGTCGCGGCACGAGCAGATGAAGCTGCCGAACGTGTTGGTGCAGTGGCCGTTCTTGCACAGCCCGGGAACGTCGTCACACTCGTTGATGTCCTCCGGGATCGACTGCAGAGAACAACAACAACAGCAGCATGCTGCAGGTGAAGAAGCCCCTTACCGGCAGCAGGTCGGCGGCCCGCCGCGTGCCAGCGCGGGAGGGTGGCCTATGCTCCGGTCGGCAGGCGCTCCGCCGAGCGACACTGCCCAGGCCAGCCTCCAGCCTCGTCCGCGTCTCGCTCCAGTCAGCTCAGTTCAAGATTCAAACCATAAATTTTCCAGTGATTTTTTAAAACAATGTTTAAGAAAGCTGGTTTTGTGTCACAAAACAACAAACAAATCAAGTTTTGATTTTTTGACATTTTTTTCCCCGAAGTCACATTTTTAGTCCCTCCCGACGGTGTAGAGAGAGATATCTCACCTCTCCCATTCGCGGAACCCGGCCTTACCGTCTTGTTGTTGGGGCGAAAGCCACTGCCGGTGGGGCACAGCGCCTCCATCTCGTCGCTGCCCTCCTCGGGGCACGGCTCGCACTGCGGCCCCCAGGCGCGGCCCATGGAGCAGCAGCAGGTCGCCCTGGAGCCGTGGCCCATCTCGTGGCTGCACCGCTCGTCTATCCAACAGCTGGCCATGCGCTTGTCTGCCATGGACGGGCGAAAAAGGCAAAAGAAAACGTAGGGGTTTAATTCACTCGGAGAATCCATTTCGAACTGCGCGGGGGTTGGTGCCATGATGGTCATTTTTGTGTACGTGGCGTGGAAACTATGGTCAACTCGGGCCGGGCGACAGTCGTGGCGCCAGGCCAGTGAGTTTGTGTGGGCGAGCCGCATCGCGACTCAATGGACGGTCGCAATCTCAATTCTGGAAATTCGTTTCGTTTTTTCTCTTTAAAACCCATGATTGCTATTGCCTGCTCTGCCGCCGCCGGGTCGGGTCTCGCGCCGCCGCTTCCCGCGTCCCAGTGAATTGCGAATCCGCGGCGTTGGTGCGCCGGGGCGGGGAGGGGTGGGGCGGGGCGGTTGTATCGCCCCGCCAAGCAAGGCTCATTTGCGTTTGTATTGCCAACTATCCGCGAGGGCGCGGGAGGGCGGGGGCGTGGCCGGGGCGTGGCCGGGTTGCGCGCGACACCGCCGCATAGCAGACGGGGTCGCGGCGGAGGGGACGTGGAAATATGACGCTGTTTTCAGAGGCCGTTGTGCGGTCGGGTCGGGTGCCGAGCGATATTTTTCAGCGCGAGTAAAAAAGAAAAGGGGAAAAAAAGCTGAACCGGATTGGATGGGGAAAGGCACGACCAGGGCCATTCGTTGGCGCGCCGCTGACTGGTCCATGGTCCTCACCGATGCATGCGTTGCCCTCGAGCTGGTAGTTGGGCGGACACTGGCACACAAAGCTGCCCTGGGTGTTGACGCACAGGCCGTACAGGCAGGCGCCGGGGCTGTCGCACTCGTTGATGTCGGTGCAGTTGCCTGACATTGGCAAACAAAATGGTCATGAGAAACAAACATTATCAAGGTGCGAAATACAACTAAAAAATTGTCGTGTATGAGAAATTTTGACGGTTCGTCACCTTTGGAGTCGTCCAGTTCGTAGCCATCGTTGCACTTGCACTGGAACATGCCGATCGTGTTGATGCAGCGACCATACACGCACAGATTGCTGAAGCTCTCGCACTCATTTATGTCTGCGAGCACAAAAGAGAAGAGTGATGCAACAGCTCGGGCAAAATAACTTTTTCGGCAACCTGCGGCAACGATCCTGGCGATCGGCTGCAGTTTCAAAATTCCCCTATACCTACCGACGCATGTCTGCTGGAAGCGGTCGTCCTTGTGCACGAAGCCCATCTCGCACTCGCAGCGGTACGAGCCCGGGTAGTTGAGGCAGTGGCCGTTCTCGCACAGCTTGTCGTCCTCGGCGCACTCGTCGATGTCCACGCACGAGTAGCCGTCGCCGCGGAAGCCCGCGTCGCACACGCACTGCGGGCCGATGAAACAAAGCGGGTGCCAATGGCAGGTATCGTATGCAGGGGGTGACGATCGTTTGCGAGCATCGCATTACACGTCACCGCCCCGCCCTCACCCCCGCCCCCGCTCCACGCGCGGCGCTATACGCAGCGGCCCGGATTATTATTTGTGCTCCGAGTAATCGATGCCGTAATAAGCACAGCAGTTGCGTTGCGCAAACACCCCTGAGGCACCCTTCTCCTCCCCCGCCCCCGTGCCGCCCCCTCTAACCCCGGCGCACCTCCGGGGGCCGTAGGGGGCCAGAGTGGGGAGCAAAGGGCGAGCGGGGGCGGGGCGCGGAGCAGCAGCAGCGGGGGTTGCCAATTTGTGGGTCGAAATCCGGCCTGGAAATGTGGACACACCAAACTGTTTACCTCATCGGGGCCCCCCGCCTCATGAAAATGAATGACGAAGTGGCGTTGACAGCAGCCGCTGGCGCGCGGAGGCGCAGTGGGGGGAAAGGGGAGGGGGAAGGTAGGCAATCATGGAGATGGGGTGCGGCAGGCGCGTAGGAATATGATCCCGGGTCGCCACAGCGCCCTGCCCACCGGGTCACACCCTAACCGCAGGTGCGCAGCAACCCACTTCGCTGCTCATCGGGTCCCACCCTTGCCTCGCCCCAGGTGCGCGGCAACCCACTTTGCTCCCACTGGGTGGGTAGCACCCTCACCGTAGGTGCGCGGCAACCCATACTTTGCTGCTCGCCGGGTCGCACACTCACCTGGAAGGAGCCCTCCGTGTTGACGCACTTGGCGTTCTGGTCGCAGCCGCCGTTGTTGGTCAGGCACTCGTTGACGTCGCGGCAAGTGACGCCGTTACCGGTGAAGCCGTCCTTGCAGTGGCAGGTGTGCGAGCCCTGCAAGAAGGGCAAGGCGAGGCGTGAGTAAGGCTGTGAGGAGGGGGGAGCTCACCTTTCTGACGGGCTTGCTCACCGGCGTGTTGACGCACTCCGCGTTGACGTCGCAGTTGCTGATGCCCAGCTCGCACTCGTCGTCGTCCGTGCACTGCTCGCCCGCGCCCGCCTTGGCCGAGTACCCGTCCTCGCACTGGCACTGGTACGAGCCCAGCGAGTTGTAGCAGGTGCCCGGGCCGCACGCGCCGGAACCCTTCTCCTTGCACTCGTCGATGTCTGTCCGTGGGAGGAGAACATTGTATATATAGTGGGGTTTGCGAAGTTAATCGGCAGAATGACTTTTGCTCTCTAGACCCTCCCCTCCCCCTACCCACGAAGCTTTCACGTTAATAAGGCTCACTACAACTTCTACCACCGTGCCCGGGCCCCGTGCTGCGAGCGAGGCGATTTGGTCCGGGGGGGACCCGGCTACGGATAGAAGTTGTAGAGCTCTTGTTCTTGAGGATGGGGGCGGGGTGGCCGGCTGGTCCTACATACCGCCCCTCCCCCCTTCCCCGTGTCCATGTGCGTTATAAATGGGGTGGGGCGCGGTTTATCAAGAGCTCGGGGAGGTCCAAGTTTTGATTGGTTCTGCTCACCGACACACGGTCCGCCGCCCGGGCCCGACAGCAGGCCGTCCCCGCACGTGCAGAAGAAGGAGCCCAGCGTGTTGGTGCACTGGCCGCCGTTGCAGATCCGCTTGTTGTCCTTGCACTCGTCCACGTCCTTGCACGACCGGCCGTCGAGCTGCAGCGTGAACCCGGGGCTGCAGGCGCACGCGAAGCTGCCCGGCGAGTTGACGCAAATGTCCTCGCAGCCGCCGTTGCCGCCGTCGCACTCGTCGAGGTCCTCGCAGTGCGACCCTTGCGCCCCGGACTGCTGGTAGCCGTCGTCACACACGCACTGGTACGTGCCCATCATGTTCTCGCACACGCCGTTGGAGCAGATGCCGCTCGTCCGCGAGCACTCGTCTATGTCTGCGAGAGGAAGCAAAATAACGCCCTTATAGGAGGTGGGTACTTTTTTTTCACGACCCTTCAATTAAGATCAGGGTTGCGAAAGTAGAAGCTTTTCAGACGTTATGGCACTCCACCGTTCGAGCAACTAAGTCCGCGGCTTACCTTTGCAGGACTTCTGGTCGGGCGCCAGCTCGTGGCCGGGTGGGCACTCGCACTTGTAGCTGCCCTGGGTGTTGTGGCACGTGCCGCCGCGGCACAGCCCGGGGACGCGCTCGCACTCGTTGATATCTGCGGCGAGGAGCGCGAGGGGTGGTGGTTAGATTCAAACGGCAGGAGCCGGGGGAGCGACTCGGCGGGACAGACGGACAGGGGGGAGGAGGAACAAATTACCCATGCAAACCTGCATCACTCTGCTGTTCTCGTAGCCCTCGTTGCACTTGCAGATGAAACTGCCCGGAGTGTTCTGGCAGACGCCGTCCCCGCACGTCCCGGACATGATGTTGCACTCGTCAATGTCTGCGAGGACAAGGAGGACAGGATTAGCTCCAGTGATGTCGGTGATGATGTGCGGCGGCGTCGGACGCGTCGCTCACCGAGGCACTTGACGCCGTTCTCGTCCAGGGAGTAGCCCTGGTTGCAGCGACACGAGTAGCCGCCGGGGGTGTTCTTGCAGCGCCCGTTCTCGCAGATGCCGGGGAACTCTGTGCACTCGTTGATGTCGCGCCTGTCGACGAAGCCCGGGCCCTGGAAGGCAAGCACGTCCGCGTGAGCCAGGACAGGGAGGGGGATAGGGGGTGGAGGTTGGCGGAGCCAGTCATTTGTCATCCCGGCGGAAGTAAGAATTTTATTTTGCCAGAAATATCTTTCGGAAAACAAAATGTTTCAAAAAAAATCGTTGCCATTTTTTTTCAAAGTCGTTAAAAGTTAAGAATTGTCTTCTGAAAAAAATAAAGTTTCCCGATTTATTTTGGAACAGGCAATCCCCCCCCCCCGAAAATTATCGATTTTTGAATCTGTTGGTGCGACTCACCCTGGGGCACAGCTCCTGGTGGGCCTGGGACCCGGCCTTGGGGCACGACTCGCAGCGGCCGCCGTCCGAGCCGCCCCAGCCGCGGCCCACCGAGGTGCAGCAGCAGATGGAGCGCGGGAAGAGGCCGGGCAGCGCGTTGACGCACTCGCCGTGCTTGTAGTCGAGGAAGCAGCGCTCCTGGCGCAGGTCCTGGCACAGCGTGCCCGAGGGGTCGAGGGTCAGGCCCGGCGGGCACTGGCACGTGAAGGAGCCCTCGGTGTTGACGCAGGTGCCGCCGCCGCGGCAGATGCCCTCGTTGAGGTCGCACTCGTTGATGTCGGTGCACGCCTTGCCGTCCAGCTTGGCGTAGCCCTTGGGGCAGCCGCCGCACTCGTCGGGGCGGCACGCCTCGCAGGGGCTGCCCCAGGCCAGGCCCACCGAGCAGCAGCACTCGGAGCGCAGCGTCAGCCGCGCCAGGTTGTTCTCGCAGCGCCCCGCCACCATCCGCGTCCAGCACGAGCCCCGCCTGTTGTCTGCAACAGCGCGCCAAAAGGATCCGTCACATTGACGAGTTCGGTCAAAATTCATGACAAAAGTTTTGTCGTTTCCCAGTCGACGCTCACCGATGCAAATGCGGCCCGTGTTGTCCAGCATGGTGCCCGGGCCGCAGGTGCACTCGTACGAGCCGCGGGTGTTCGTGCACTCGCCGCCGATGCACGCCTCCTCGCCCAGCTCGCGGCACTCGTCGATGTCCTCGCAGGTCTGCGTGCTCGTGTTGAACTGTGTGCCCGGGTCGCAGATGCACTGTGGTGGTGGACAGGAGAGTGTTCAGTACAGTCCAGGGTCCCGTTAAACCGCCGCTCCTCCTCCGCCCCGCCCTGCGGGCTGCCAGTGCGCGCTACTACTCACGTTGAAGCTGCCGGGCGTGTTGCGGCACTGGCCGCCGTTGCACACCATGTTGTCCAGCTCGCACTCGTTGATGTCGCTGCACACCTTGCCCGTCGCGTCCACCTGGTAGCCCGGGTTGCAGATGCAGCGGTGGCTGCCCATGAGGTTCTCGCACGCGCCGTTGGGGCACAGGTTGGGGTTCTGCGCGCACTCGTTGATGTCTGCGGGGAGGGTGGTGAGCAGGTGAGTGCAACGGTCCGGAGCGCGGCGCGGGACGGGGTGGCCGGGCGATCACGGCGACCCTGCCCTACCCTGCCCGCCGCCCATCCCCCAGAAAGTTTGGGGACGCGTGACAGTATGAGTTGGCCAAACTAAGTTGTTGGCTGGTTGGTCGTCGGAGGGGAGGAGATGGTGGAAAGGCTCATATTTATCACGGGCCTGCTCCGCCGCTGCCGCGACCCCGCCGCCGCTGCTCCCCTCAGCTCAGGCCTACCCGGGAGGCGAGTTAACAGGAAGGCGCAGTCACCAAGTCAACCCGCTTCGGGGCGCGCGGCGGCCCGGGCGGGGCCTCGATAGTTTGGCACTTCCCGGAAAGCGAAAGCGCCACCCCCACCGCCCCCGCCCTGCACCCCCTGGGCGCACGGGCGTAAGGGGCGAAAGGTCGCCGTTTCTCGCCGTAACGCCCTGTTGTAACAACCCTGGACAGTTTGCCCTTCGTGTGCGTCCTCCCCACCCCTCCCACGCACCTCCCACCCGTACGTGACGAGACTTATTTCATGAGATTACGCATTCATGAGGCTTACATGTCGCGCAAACCCCCCGGGCAGGCTCAGTTGGTTACAACTCCACCCGCTGCCTTTTTGTTTGAAATTACTAGATTGGGACTCTCCGAGGACGGCGAGGGTGAGGGGACGCGGGCGTCCTTTGACAGTCAAATCGTGTGTCCCTGGGGGGTAACGTACCGTCGCCGCTGAAGGTCATGCCGGGCCCGTGCGGGCACAGCTGCTCGAACTCGTGCGTGCCCTGCATCGGGCACTGCTGGCACGGCGTGCCCCAGCCCGAGGGCTGGCCGAAGATGACGGTGCAGCAGCAGCAGCTGGACCTGGTGACGGGCAGCGTGCTGGGCCCGGAGCACATGCCGTTCCGGAAGGACGAGTAGCAGAGGTCGCGGCGCGTGTCCTCGCACGAGCGGCCGCCGGGGCCCAGGACGAACCCGGGCGGGCACTCGCACTTGAAGCTGCCCTCGGTGTTGATGCAGCGTCCGTTCTGGCACGGCCGCGCTGCGCACTCGTCGATATCTGCGGGGCAGTTTCCATTCCATTTGACCTTTTGTCCAACGTTTGACCCATGTCCCTGGACGTCCCCTCGGTGTCCAGTCCATACTCACCCTCGCACTGCTTGTGGTCGGCGCCGAGGCGGTAGCCCGGGTCGCAGACGCAGCGGAAGGAGCCGTCGATGTTGACGCAGCGGCCCTTGCCGCACATGCCCGTCTCGGCGCACTCGTCCGTGTCCACGCAGTAGGAGCGGTCGGGCGAGGCGGTGAAGCCCGGGCTGCAGTCGCAGTCGTAGGAGCCGGGCGTGTTGCGGCACCGCCCGTGCAGGCACATGCGCGGGTTCTCCATGCACTCGTCCACGTCTGGAGACAAGCGACAAAAATAATTTCCGTTATAAAAAGGAAAAGTGGCAAGTATTCATTTAATTTAGCGTTACCCTCTATAAACAAATGAAAGAAAAACTAATTAAAGTCGATTAAGGTTGGCGCAACAAGATAACTCAAT